GTTTCAATACATTTAATTTGCGTGTAAAGAGAAAAAATATTTTTCACCAACCTTTGTGATTCCCTCAATGAAAGCTCTAGTGGCAAGTTCGCCAGGACCATCGACGGTTTTTCCATCATCGTCCGGTCCCCAGGAGGCACTATAAATATCGATGTGTTGAGGATTTAGACTCAGAGACCTTGCTTCGACGGCATCTGTTACATCTCCGTCCAACATTCTCACTCCTGTGCACAGATAAATATTTCTCTTTAATTATTTACTCTCGATCGAATATTTTTTTAATCAAAAAAATATGTAACAAACATTCTATATTTCTAAAAAATATTTCTATGATAATACAATCGTTAACTCGAATTAACTCAAAATTAAATTCGAATTGGATAGAAGATGAAATGAAATAAAATAATTCGGGATAAAAGCAAATTTATATTTCAACTTGTAAAAGGACAAAACAAACAAAAGATTTTTTAATTTTAATTTAGATTAGAGTTTTGGACTCTTGTATGTTCGTGTAATCTTTTGGAAAATTTGCGCTCTAAGTTCTGTTTCTCTTGTACAATGAATAATGCAATTCGCGTGTGTACATAAATATGTGTGTGCTTGTCAGACAAACGTTAGTTTCCATTTCTTTGAGAATATAATTGCTTTAAGTTGGAATAGGCTGATAGATACTGAATCTAATTTTCTATAATTTATACTTTTTTCAAGACTTATTGCATTTCATTAAAACATTACATATTTAACGATTTTCTGTTAAAATTAATTTGTACGTGAAAATTAGCTTGATAAGAGACAAATATTTATTTACACTTCGGTTAACTCTTCCTCGAGTACACTTACCACCGACGCCAGCTCCAAATGCAACTCCTACCGCGCACAAGGAATTGTTAGCAGTTGCAGCCACTTCACCAGCGCATCTGGTGCCATGTCGATTACTGTCTAGAACGTCGTATCGTGGCATGGGATCTTCATCATGGTTATTGACATCGTAGCTGGCTTGTGGGTCCTGGAATGTTCAATTCATTTTTCCGCATGAAAATTTGTTGAAAATTTAAGATGGTAGAATTTTTATATTTTAAAAAGTTTATATTTTTTTCAATCAAATCAATTGTGCGTTGTCTTCCGTGGTATATTTTTAAGACAGTTTAATTATTATTCTAAGGGGAGTTAACAGAAGGAAAATTTTTATTGAAAATTCATTAAAAATTATCGACAAGATTATCAACAATAAATCGTATATTATAATATTCGTAATTTTCATTTAATTTTTAAATTCTGGAAGTCTAGACTTTTAAAATGTTTTTTCTTGTAGTATAAATTGGAACAATTTAAATATCATTTTAATATAATGTATTTATTTAACCTTTTGATCTTTCTTGCCTTGATATTTTTCTTGAGACATTTCCTACTTTTATAATTCGAATCGTTGGACATTGTTATATGTATATATCATTCGATAAGATGTTTAATTAATATGGAATGAACTACTTTTGTAATTACTGAATACAACTTGGCTACAGTTTTACGAACTTTCCAGTGAATATCGATTTCCTACTAGTTCCAATGTAATTGCTTTTTCCTTCGGGCAGTTTGAGGATTGTTTTAAAGTTCGATGCCACGGTTCTCGACTCCTTTCATACAATATTTTTTTCCAATCGATTGAATAAATTCTTCTCCCGAAGTTATGAAATGGCATTAAATTTTTACATCTATGCGAGCAAATGAATTTTTTAAAATTATTATAACAGTAGAAGTATGTATTCAGCTATTTCAAAAAGAAAAAATAAAAAAAATCTGGAAAATTCGGATATTTTTTTATTCAGCTTCAAATAATATTCAGAAATGAATCATAAGAGCAGATTTTTATTAGATTTAAAAAAACTTCCAAACATTGTGAAGTTTTGAAATGATTCTCGAAATGTTTTATTCTTACAAGATGATTGCCAACATTATCATAAATTATTGATATCAAAATTCAAGAATTCTAATGAAGGCATCTTGGGAATATAAAAATTTAAAATATAACGAGTTCTTTTTCTTTATTAATAATAAGTTTTTAAAAAATTTATTGCACGCGAAAGATTATTTTTCTGCAATTTAAAATAAAAAAATAAAGTCAACATCTTAATTAATTTCTGACAAAAATCAAAACATTGTTAAAATTTTATCTAATCTATTCCGTAATTATTCAAAATTAAAATAGTAATATATAATAAAATTGAACGATAAACTTTTGAGTAAAAATATTGTATGTAATAAATTGCATAAATTAAAAATAAAGTAAAAGTGATTGAATAAATTAAAATCAGAAGAAGATTGAAAGAAATCTACAAAAATGAATAAATTCGACTTCCTTATTTATTATTATCATAAATTTCAAACAATTAAAACAATATCAAACATTAAAAATCAAAAAGTACAATTCTAGCGTTAAATATACGTACACAATTTCAAATTGAATATTCGATATAACAGAAAAATTTCAGCATCATTGACCAAATGTATCTTTTTTGGGCCAATATCGACTACGGTGTACCCGGTCTGATTATAGAGAGCCGTATCTACTGTGATATTGTGAAACTCGGTGTACGTTTGTTCGCGGTTGCCTTATTAACTCCGTCCATTCACCAGTAAACATACGCGCTTCTCTGGTGCGATTCGAGTCTAGTGTTTGACTGTGCTCGGTCGGTTTTCAGTTTCAGTCGGTAACTTGGACAATTTCGGTGCGGAACTCGGCTTTCTTAAATTCTTCCAACCCCGTTCTTTGCGACTATTTCTCGCTTTATAGGGGACCATTGTTCCCTGAACGTCGTTAGTCGTGGACTCACGCATTCCTTTGCAATAATTTCACATAGGGAAACGTTTCACGATGCAGCTAGGCGGAATTAGACGTTTTGGTATGTCGAGAGTTTCAACGTTTTTGGCAACGTTCCTAGATTCGTCCGTCTTCCGCTTTTCCAGAGTTGGATTTACCCTCAATATCGATCTTTGCGCAAAATGGGACGAGTTGTGATAAATTGAAGGATATTTGCGGAGGATATTTGTGATAATTTTTTAGAAATTAGAAAGAAACGCTTGCGAAATTATTGCTTTTTGATTTGATACCGAGAAAAAGATATAGTTAGTGAAAAAATAGATCTTTTTTAACCCGATAATTTTAATAGTTGCATACTTGATAAGTCGTTATTTCAATTTTTAATAGATTTCTTGAAATTGCCTCTGATTTATATTAAAAAAAGAAAAGAAAAGATTATTACTTGTTGAATTGTTAAAATAAAATAAATAATAAATTCATTAATTTATTTTTTACAAATGAAAAATATCGTTTTCGGCAAATTAAATGCAAGAAAGAATTTGGATTTGCTTTTTAATTATATATTATACAACATAAAATAATTACATTTTTTTAATACTTTTATTTCGTATCCTATTTTCTTTTGTAAATTTATTTTCTATTAAAAAGTCCACAAATCTGTTAAATCCAAAGATTAATTGTTTATTGATTTAGAAGGATAAATAATAGGGCTTACGTAGTTCTTATAAAGATCCGGATGATTCTTCTCCAATCCGTCATCAAGAATCGTGACCACCACTCCACGCCCCGTAATTCCCTCAGCCCAAGCTTCCTGCACGTTCATATCTAACCCCTTTCCCCTGTTCTGAAACCAATGATCAATTTTAACGATTCGTAAAAAATAGACAGAAATTTTTTACGAATCAAAAAAAGAAACGGCAAATTTACAATATTTTGTACAAGATCAGATAAAAGAAAATTCAAATCCAACTAACCAAGTACCACATCTGAGGCCACATCTCGTCGTTGAGAACGGTTCTCAGGTTGGACGGACCGCGTTTAATAATTAGATCCCGTTTCGTTCTCGATTTTACCCGTTGTTGCTCAGCTCGACGCACTCTGCGGTCTTCTATTAGCCTCCCCTGCACTCCGAAATGCGGTTCCGCTGACCTCTTCACCACTGACGTGTGCACCATGTGGTACCAGTCATCCACTATCTATGGCGAAAGAACAATCTCGCATTAATGCCTTTGCGCGATAATCACAGTGTGCGGTCTTTGGACAAAGCTTGTTTCAAGTGATAACGAATGAATTTTAATACGTAGAGATTTACTATAATATATCGTATAATATGTCTGAATTGCGGCCAGTCGTTTTATTAGCAGTGTAATTTTGCCTTTTACGTTTTGATCGCGTAATTTATATAACGCGTTTCAACGAGAGAATGCGTGAGGTTTCGTATCTTTAGTCGTTGAGTCGATACTTATCTAGATTTATTCTATCCTGTTGCGTGGTTAGAGGAAGGAATTTCTGATGTTTAGAGATATCTTTGATATCTTTAAACGTTTTGAAACGTTTTAATCTATTGGAAGAAATTTAGAAAATATGTGAAATAATTAATTAGTTTATAATGGAATATTTTATGACAGTTTTATTTTGTCAAAATTTTTTCGCGTTGATATTGAAAGGTATTTATTAAAATTGTTCAATAATGATTTTAGTTTAGTTTCATTTATAGTATTTATGATGTTTAATAATTAATTCGATAGAAATTAAATTCCATATATTCTATATTTTAAAAAATTTCTAAATTTCGATACTATATGATTAACTTAATTTTAAATATTAAATTTATTCTAACAGAGTTGACCAATTTACCTTCTATGTTCTATTAGCTTAATTACCGTTCAAACATTTTTTTTTTTTCGAACAAAAATTAAATTATTAATTTAACGAAAATTTATAAAATCAATCCAAACAATACTTTTTAATTTCTTTGCATGATTTTATTATTATTATTTTTTTTTTAAATTGATTGATATTTATTAATTTTATCCTCTAGTTTGGGAAGTCAATGATGAATAGCATAAAAGAATTTTGTTTCCATTCCACTCTATCGTACAATCTGCCCAACATTACATCGCTTTAATTTTTTTCTGAGCTGAACAGAAGCATTTGAGATAGCAGAGATTAATGTTCAGAAATTAGAAGCGATAAAACATTGGACGTTGATTTTTCATTAAGGGTGGTGGTATTCGTCATATTTTCGTATTGGAGGGGAAAAAATTAAAGCTGCTCGTTTGGGGCAAGATTATTTGATGCACAAGTTTGTTGTTCCTCGGCGATATGTAACTGTAAAGATGTACGATGCACCGTAATGATAAATGTGAAAAGTTGGGAACAGCTGCTGCAGGCGAGCTTCTTACCGTTTCTTTCCCGGTGACAACTCGCACCGCATTTTTTTTTCCTTTCCTTTTTCCTTCTTTTTTCAAGCTGAACATTTCCAAGAACGCGCCTTAAATCCCGCGGATGGAGTATTGTTTCGTATGCTTTTATCGCGTTGAAGCGAAGGATACGCTTCTTCATTGTTGCTGTCAAATATTTTATCCCATCTCTAATTTTTTATTTCGCAATCCAAAGGATTTCTCGTTGCATCGAATACTTTATGGAGAGTTTTTTTTTTTTAATTATTCACCGACTACGATAATAATTCTTATTTTTTTTTTTTTATCATTCGAATTTTAATTCTCGATCGAAATATTGCGCAATTTGGAAAAGCTAGAGGGAGAAATTTTCTATGATAAAGCACGATCTGGCGTGAACTCTTAATCAATTGCTAATTTCTCGAACGAAAACTTTCGAAATTATACACTTATATATTCTATCGTAATTATGTTTTAAAGCGATGCAAGATCGTTTCAACGTAATTAAATCAAAAGCTACACCGTGTTAATCGTTCCTTTGTTCGTGGAAAATTTTACCTCTAATTTCTCATTTCCAACTTAACTTTGGAAAGAAATCTCGTTCCAATTATATCAAGTCGAGAGAAAAGTAATGTTGGATAAATCTTTGTGAAAAACTTTTATTCAATTTTTCAAAACAATCCTGTATTTCCTAATATTCTTTGACTCGCAACCCCTCCTTTGTAACATACTAATTAATTATTCATTTCCCATATAAAGCGAGAAAAATGAAAAGAAATCGAGATACTTTCGAGTTAATTAATTGAAAAATCCTCGAGAAAATAATTTCCTTTTTGAAAGTTACGAAACGAACTAAGTATAGAATTGCAAAACGTAGAAATTATAAAAACGCACATCGAGGTAATGAAAATACAAAATTATTAAGAATTTTAATATAAATTTATTAATACAATTTAAAAAAAAATCATAATGTGACAAACACTTTCATCACATCTTTTTTCCGCCTCCAATTATTTCTATTATCTTTTAATTTTCCAAGTATCGACGATATCAACTAATTATTATTACTACACACATTCTTTAAAGCTCATTCTAACTTTTAAGCTTTAAAATTTAAAAATGGACCAAATTCACCGTTAAAATCTACACCCTCGTCACAAAAATGACGTCGCACTTCGACCATTACCGGCAAACACGGATCCAAACTGTTCTTCGTCTTGTAGATCTTCAATCGTACCTTGTACTTCTGACTCTTCCATTCCCCGTTCGATTTGTAATTCTCGTTCCTCTTCCGTCGCATCAAGTGCCCGTCCATCGATTTCGTGTCATTCTGTTGCTGCAACTTGCTCTCGCAGGCGCTTTGATTTTTATTGAATCTACGAGGCTTTTTATAAACGTCGATTTTAGAATCGACACTTTTGTCTATTGTCGAGAATTGATAACGAGAATTGGGCTTCTTATTTCTCTCCTTCAAAGAAATTGCCCGCTTCTTGCACATGGGAGATCTGCAACTCTCCTCGTCTATGTGTATAATTTTCGGCACCCTCTTCGCCTCATCCGATTTCCTTTTCAACGTTTTCGCTTTTTTATTCTTGTTGTACTCCTCGTACGGGATATACTCCATGGTGGTCGGTTTGATCGGTGGTTTGTACTTGTTGTAATTCTGCCTCTTCTTCATCTTTTCGGACCAGTGGGCAGATGGCGGTGGTAGCGGGTCAGGCTTTATATCCTCGTACGAGGCATTCATTTTAGGGATATAACTCGGCTTGTTGTACGAAGAAGGATTCCCGGAAATTTTATTCTCATTTCTATCGCTTCTTTTGAACAGATACGACTTAAGCGAGTCGGAGCTGTGCTTCTTTATGCAAGACACGAGGAACTCCATTTTCGACTTGACTTTTGACGTCTCGTTGAAATTATTGGTTGAACTGCTAATTGACGTTCTTTGATTACTGCTCGAACCAGTCGAATCATCGGTAGTTTTTGGATTACTGCTACCGGTTGGATTTTTTTTTTTAAATGAATTATCTCTTGATTCCGATCCAACTTCAACAATTCAAGTTGATCCTCTTGCTTCATCAGCTTCTGACACTCGTCCTTCGCCAGTTTCTCAGGCTCTTTGCACTTTTGGACATCATGCTCGCACTTCTCCACAATCGTTTTACACTCCTTTCGAGCATCTTTGCACTTCTCTTTTGCCTTCTTGTGACGCGACTTATCTATCAGGCGAATACACTTCTCGTTTATGATTTGTGCTTGCTCGCAGCTATCAACCGACTCCTCGGCCGAACATTTTTGGATATTGTCCGTGGGAGTTTTCTCCTCCTCTTGATTACATTTAGTGGATTTACTCTTGGGACTTCTTTTCAGCTTGAAAGGAATTTTCTTCCCGGATTTTTCATCGTTCCGTTTCTCGCATTTCTCCAATATCTGTTTGTAGTATTTCTCGTAGCCATCTTTGACGAGTTTGAAATTCGAAAAGCTCCTCCTCGAGTAATTGTTGATGAACGGTTTCGTTAACGTTAAACGTTTCAGGTGGATGGGAAATCGTCTATTCAAAATATAAGTGGAGACTTGTTGCCTGATGAAATTGAAGTTTTGATAGTTGACGGCCGACGGCCTGTTCGAATCTTTTTCAAAAGCATTTTCCAATTTGTCGAATATTTTTATAAATTTCTTGTTCGGGGACAAATAGATTCCTTCTTGTAACTTATAAAATGGGGAAAATTGTAGGATTTTGTTAAAAATATATTCCAAGTATTTCGTTTTGTCAAATTGTGCACATTTTTGATATATTATTCTTGGTATCGACGATTGTACTTTCGAAGATACCTGCCAATTGTAATTAAAAATATCGATATTAAATTAAGATCTAAAGATGAATATATTGTGTGTGACTAAGAAAACTATTATTATTATTATTTTTTTTTTTTTACGAGTAATTGAATAATTCAAAGAAAAGAAGGATAGAATTTATAAACAATTATGAACATTTCATTCACAGAATTATATTTCAACGCTTTCTTGCGTTTCCAAACTGTGCTGTAAAATAATTTTAAATATAAGTTGAAACATATGAATGCAAAAAAGATATGTAATATAATACGTGTGAATGAAAATTTCCTTTTTCTTAGAATTTTTTCAAAGATAAGATCAGAAACGATAAAAGATAAATCTTTGTGTGATTAGTTTTAAAGTTTTTTCAAAAGAAAGAAAAACAATGTAAAATTTTTATTCTATTTCTCATTTTGTACATTCGTATCAATATTTCTATAGAAATATCGAACGAATATTTCAAAGTCTAGTGTGCAAGAAAGAAAAAGAGCTTCGAGAGCTTGTCTTTAACGATATGTAAATATATGTATCATTAATAATTATATATATATATATATATATATATATATATATATATATTATTATTATT